GACTCGATTCATGTCGTCTGAATGTATGTATGCGGCAAACAGAGTCGTTTAGTTTTATTCTTATGGTTTCACTTCATTCAAGCAAATGAAATACTTAACAACTATTTGAAGAATGAGAATTACTTCTTCAGCTGCAAATGATATTTGCGTTCTTTGAATCTTAACCCAGCTTGACGGCGAGCAGTAATAATTTGCACGTCAGAGAAAATGCCCTCGAAATTGTTAACATTTACATCTTTTTAATTTATTCCTTCAAATTTGTTCAAGACTTCTCAATTGCGAGGTTTAGTCGTCTATCGTGGTAACATGATGCTTGAAAATCAATCTAGCATAATGCTCACAGCTCGCACAGCCAGAAGAACAACGCAAAGAGAAAATCTCTTGAACCGAGACAGCATAATGAGTAGCTTGATTCAGTGTATACCTGAAAGTATTGTTACTTAATCATTTTTTTTTATTCTTTAGATTTGAAAGATTTCAAGATCTTATGAAGCGAGAAGATTCAAGAAATGATGATGCCAGAGGACTCGAGAAATCTGTTGACTGAAATAAAGCTTATCAAAATTCACGTTTCTTCTGATTAGGAAAGAAATCGCGAATAGCCGAGCGGTGTTTGCGGGGAAATTCTGTATAATAAGTTCGCGCTTTTAAAAGGGCCAACAGTATTTTGAAACAAAAAGTCTTTTGGCGGGAAATTCTTCCTTTTAGCAGAATAATTGTGAAACTAAAAATGTTTGCAAAAAATTCTGAGTCTTTTGACGGGAAAATTGTCCATGGAAAAAAAAGTCTGTGCCTTTGAATTGTGTCTAGTTTTGATCGAAAATATACTAAGTCTTTTGGCGGGAAAAATCTTGCTCCATGCTAGAGATTTCCTCCCATCAAAATTCGAGTATATTTTTTGTTAGAATGCTAGATGCTGTTCAAATCCGCAGAAATTTTTTTCCTCTCGGCAACCCTCCATACGCAAAAAAAAGTAAAAGAGATAGCCTATATTTAGACTAGTTACCAGGCCCTTTTAAAAGCGCAACTCTTTTTTTTATTATTATTTGTACTCGGAAAAGACAATAAAAAGAAAAGACAAAATAACGGAAATGAAGTTTTTATTTGTTTTTCTTTTCATTTAATACAATTCTTTATTAATTAAAATTGTTTCTCTTGGATTATAACATAAAATATTAGTTCTAACTCATGAATATAACTAATTATAAGTTGAAAAGATTTACAAAATCAAATGGCAAAAATAGCTTAAGTATAATAATGGCATATCAAACTATTACATGTTGGAACATTCCGACCAACTTACTGAAGCAAAATAAAAATATGACTGAAAGAGAATTTACCAAATCGTGACAATAGCATAGAGAATTAAAGAATAGTCGAATTTCGTAGTGGATAGTTTCAAAATAAATATTCCATCCCGAAATTTAAAACTAGCGACATGCAGTTGCTGTTGAAAGAAAGTAGTTCCAGCCAAAATGATTTCAACTTACTCGAACATTGAAAAGAAAATCACTGCCATCGGCATAAAAATCAATGTGATCAAAATAAATGTTATGATGAGATTAAAAAGTTTCATACCGGCAGGAATTTACGTTGTAGCGTTCTTCAAAGAACAGCTTTTCAAGCAATCATTGTTTGTGTCCTTCCCTACATCTTGCTTAATTTTTTTGTTGTTGTGTTTTTGATCCTGCTAAATTTTATTTGATGAAAATTAGCTTTTAAAATCCTTGACGTTTTCACTACACTTGTGATGTGATACGAATTTTTGAGCAGTTACTTGGATTTTTAACATTTGAAGAGATCAACTGTGTTTGTTTACCTTGCCAAATTACTTCCATTCGCATTTGAGCTTCTTCTCAAATGGTCTTAACTTGAAATGAGATAGAAATCTTGCCCATCACCAGAAAATTAATACTTGACTTTCAGAGCTCTGTTTTTGTTCTCGAAGAAATTATCTACTTTCTTTTTTCAGCAACTGGCGTAACCAAATTCGTTCTTCGGGAAACATAGTCAGTAGGATTAAATTACAGTTTGTTACCTTAAATATTGATTCGCAACTGTCTTTCTCCCATAACTAAGTTTCATTTTCTTCAGCTCGATCCTGTCTTGGCTTTCAAAGCTTGTGGTTCAGGTAAAGAAAGCGTGTCACATGATCACATGGACATCAGAGGACTGCAATATAATACAAACAAACGTCTTAAAATTCGACGAAATTAAACTGGTTATAACAAATAAAATTGATGAAAATGATAAAGCGTTGTAAATAAAGGTATTTCGCTTCGCCTCTCTCATATAAATTTGTTGTTATGTCTAAACTTAGTGATCATGATCATCGCAAGGCGAATTTTTCATCCTAAACTCAATTGCAAGTTGGTCCTTTTTATTCCAGTGATCACAATTCATTACACATGCAGCTCTGATAAATGTAAAGATCTTATACTTCTTTCTCCGAATAAATTGTTTCAGGTTGACTCAAATGTAGTTTTTGCAGTTCAGTAGCACATTGACATAAATCCAGCAACTGGGTTACGTTTTCGAGAACCATTTCCGTTTTCAACAAATCTTAAGGCAAGTGATGCCCTCAAGGAAGATTTCCGTATAACTCCATACTATTCCAAAACAAAGCATCAATCACACAAGTAATCTGCAATTTGTGTCATTATCTTCCTCTATCAGAGAACTGTATGTGTAATGAAGCATGGGTTTATTAAGTATTTAAGTATTATAAAGTATGGGTTTTTAGTAAACCCAACAAATTGTCACTGTCTTCGGGTTACACTTTATGACCGTATCTCTTCACGACAGTACTTGTGATTTAGATCTCGAACTGTAAATCTCATTAAAGTAGGCAAGGTCATCATGAAATTTAAAAAACTCGCTTATTTTACGGAGCCAAATATCTTGAAATTACACCTGAACAAAGCGACTTACAAATACTCGAAATTTTGGAACAAGAGACCTCTTTAGCTTGTATGTTTTGTTTACCACTGTCAGGTCATGTGATAATTCGCAGATAACTGTTTCTTTCAAATTTCCTCTTTTTCACGTGTATATGCACGCATGACTCGCAAAAGATGCTTCGTCCTCGGCACTTTCTCAAATACTTTTCAAAACTTTCAATGATTAAAAAAAATTTTTCCGTTAAATATTCTTTCTTGGCTAGTTAAAGCAAAATATAGTTATTCCGCATTTTTCAGGTAAAAGGCAATGCCTTTGATAGATACAACTCTTTTTGCAAAACGCAGAGACAAGTTTGTGCACATTCCGATCATTCTTTGTTCGCGACAAACTCTCCCTCAACGATCCTCTGAGGAATTATTTGCATATCATTTCTATTCATTTTTCTTACTGACACAAGCAAACGCGTTACCTAGCTCGACATTGTCTGGCTTTATGCCTGACTGATTAACATGGTTTTGTGCATGTCTTAGGATAGCAGTCACATAAACATGTCATGGACCTATTAAAAAAAAAATTTGGTTTCTGAAGCTCACCTTCCAGTAATACTATCCTTTTTTTCTTTCTTTCCATTATTTCTGTCCACTCCCATGCTTGATTTACGATGCCTCATCCATATTACTACAAGGGAAAGATACAACGCCGTTATTTTCCGAGGTTTATGAGACTTGTACTGTTACAGCTATTCAATTAGGTTATGGAATGTTAAATTAAAAGAGCGCTCGTTCAAAATAGAAAAATAAATAACTAAAAGAACTAAGACCTTTTCTACCCACAAACCTCATCTGTTCAAGATATCTTATTTAAATGCCAATTCAGCGATAATCGGTCCTCAGATTTCTTTTACCACAAGTTTGGATTGAATATACCGCAAAGCGACAACGTTCTAACCAGGCTAATGCTCGGGTTGGGTGAACTGATGCAATTTATTGATAATTATTTTCTTCGATACGTTCTCAGATACCTTTTATTGCTATTAAACAAAGCTAAGAGTGTGGAGTTATTTCTCGCGAACACACGTTCGAAAAATTCTAAACATCAGTTCACAGTTCTCCCTAATTCGTAAGGCGCGTTGTACAGAAGAAGTTAAGCAGCAAAATTCACAGCTATCTCACCTGGTGTTCTGTTTTGAAATGCAAAAACCGTTGGTCCAGGTCCAATCTAAGTCCATGTTTAGAAGGAAGATTTGATTAGCTGGAAGTTCTTTCCTGCGAAGCAAAGCTGTTCTTACCACGAGGAACCGTAAAATGGAAATGAGTTGAAATATTTCACGTGCAAATTCAGGCACGCGAAAAATATCTTGGGAGCGAGGTTGACGAAAACTTGCATCCAAAGAAGTACAAATCAATTGCATGATTGTTGTGGCGTTATTTTTTCGTAAAGCTGGTTTACATGTACGTGAAAGAAAGAGGGGTGAAAGTGTACGGGGCAGGAACATGAAAAAATGTAAAAGTGTACACAGTTTCCCGGAGGAAGATGGTGCCTTGCGAGGTAAAGATTTTACCTACTCAGGGCTCAGTAAGGATTGAATGAGTGAAGTTGGCCTTAAAGGAAGCGTTCAGCGCAAGAAAGCGAAATTCACGGAGACCAGTTGAAGTTTCGAGTAGAATAATTTAACGGTTTTACTGGCTGAGTGCGAAAAATACATTTATTTGCCCCCAAATAAAAAAAAGATTGTCTCCTACCAGTTTGGTATATTGTTAATATTTAGCTTAGATACTAAGTCAATGGGGAAAGGCAGAGAGTCCTGAAGGGTAAATACTTAAGGGGACTGGTAACTTTGATAACAATGGATTGTTCTTGAAGCAAGAGTCACGGGTTTTTATGAAAAACTACATCGTCTCCAGCGATTTACTTCCTCAATGGCTACAAAGTTCGCATTGCGGACCTTTTATTTCGAAGATAAACTGGAGGAAACTGGCACTAGGGACGGTAACGCCTGTAACATTGCAACTTTTTCATGGAGGGCTATTCGTTTGATCGACGTTGTACCACACTGTAGGTGTCATTAATCGATTGCGATCCGCAAGCCTGCCGTAAAAATGCCATCAAAGTGCCCCGTTTGCAACAGAGAGGCAGTTGATGTAGAAGAAGGAGGAGAACTAGTTTGTACAGAGTGTGGAGCTGTTGTGGAGGGTAGAGTTTTCAACTTTGATGTTGATCGTCAAAATGGCTACACCGCCATGACAGCTGATGGTACGGCAAAGTTTGATGGACGTTACGATCTACCAAGTACAGTAAGGCAGCGACTACCGACAAGCGACACTTCAGTTTCTAAAAAGCGACTTCAGAAGTTCCTGTATGAGCTTGCAAAGCGCATGAATCTTCCGAACGAAACTGTAAAGGAAGCAAAGGATTTTCTCTTAACTACTGTAACATCAAAAATTAAATCAGGAGAAATTCGACATATAAGTCGTCACAGAGACATTCTTACTGCGAGTTGTCTGTTTATCGTTTGCAGGAGGAATCACATGCAAATAAACTACAGACGTATGGCCGAGATCGCGCAATGTAACATGTTTAGTCTCGGTAAATCGGTGAAAATCATTTTAAAAGCTCTCGATCTTCAATTGGAGCCGATTGGAACTGAGTCTTCGCTAGGATGTGTTCTTGCTCAGTTGGATGTTGAGGATAAGTCTGCTGAGAAGACCTGCTTTGATTTGTTTCACATTTTTAAGTACTTCAGTCTGGTCGGCGAGAGAAATCACTTTGCCTCTGCTATGGCTTTGGTTCTTATTGTACTGGAAGGTAAAAGAATCCCTCTGCGCAAAGAAAAGATTGCAGAAGTGTTAGGCAAAAATTCTGTGACAGACACCCAGCTGAAATCACAATCAAAGAATACCAGAAGGGGTTTAATCGAACTGGCAAAAGATGTACCCTGGATTCCAAAATCACTTAAGACGACTGCCATTGCTAGGCATATTGATGACATTGTTGATTTCCACAAAAACTGTGGAAAGATGGATTTGTCTGCAGTTAAGTCTCTGTATATGAAGAGGAAAGAACTTGCACAAAACAATCGTAAGAGAAAGATACAGATGGCTAAAGCACGCATAGACAAGGAAAAAAAGCAACAGCTTTGCAGCTCAAGGGAAGACAGTTCATCTACTACTGATACCCTGGCTAATCTTTCAGGTCCAAGCAGTTCTTTAACTAACCAAAGTAAGGATGGTGGTGTAACAGGAGAACCAGTAACACACAATTTGCATGTTGATGGTGTTGACAGAGGCCAGCAGAGTACTTCTGCAGATGCTCCAGAGTTTAGCATCGACAGTGAGCTGGATGATAATGATACCTTGATAGAAGGCCTGTTGAGGAGTGGCTACTCTGAGGAAGAGTTGATGGATGGTTATTTTGAATCAAGAATGGTTGATCTTCAGGGCAGCTGTGACCCTGAGGGGGAGAGAGAAGATCTGGATGAACTTGATATCAGTGAGTCTGATATGCATCATTATTTGAAGTCTGTTGCTGAAGTGGAACGAATAAGGAATCTTCAGAAAGATGACTCTTATCAAGCAGTAGGACAAAGTCAGTAAAAGACAGGCTGAAATAATCAGTGAAATTATCATTTAAAGACAGTCCTCGCGACTTTCATTTAACTCAGTTTATCTATTTATTGTTTAGCAATTAGAATTGACAGATGGTCCTGCCTTAATTTGAGTGCAGGAAATGTTGACATGCCTATTTTGTGTTTCATGTGAAATTCCTTATGTCCTCATGCCCATTTGGCATTTTGCCATGTTACTTGTTATTCTTTTTTCATTAATAAGTACAGGCTATGGTCTTATTAGTGCAGGGGTTTCAAAATATGCTAGCCACCACTGGAGTTCTATCAGCAACTTTAAAATGTATTGCCAGTTTCTCTGATCAAAATAATTACCTTTTGGCACTTAATTTACTTTTCATCGGCACCTACTTTTGCAGAGTGTGATGCTTCAAAAAATTTAAAAAAACCCCTGTCAGGGCTGAGTGGCAATTAAAAATAACATGAAATGGTGACTGAAATACTCTGGAGGTTTGATGCTTTCTCCTCAAAGAAGTCCAATTTTCAGAGAAGACAATCCCTTGTGTACAATCACATGATTTCTATTGGGACAACAAAACAATCAGATGAACAAGATCTTAAATAAAACTTCAATGGGAGTGACCAAAAGAGAATTTCTCTGTACAATATTAATACAATAATAAGCAGAAATGTAATGAGAATAAAGAAAGATGTAAATTAGGGACTTATAAGTTGATCCAATACCAAATTCTCCAAATTAACACCTTGAGAATTGTATGGCAGGCAGCAAGGAAAATTTCTAATGAGATCTTCAGAGTGAAAGGGTTAAATTTTTGTAACATGGACGGAACTTTGTAACAAGCTATACTTGAAACTGCAAGGTTATTTTGAATCATGAATGACCGGAGGAGACTATCCAACGACATTTAACCCTTTAGCTCCCAGAAGTGATTCACATGTAACTTCTCCCTACAACATCCATCCACTGTCCAGCAAACTGGTATTGAGAGTACTCAAATATATCAGGTAAAAGTTGTTATCCTGATCTAACACCAAATTCTTGCAACTAGTTTACAAGGAAATGATTAGAAGCTATAGGGGAGAAAACAGCCAGATCCTGGCAGTTTAAGGGTTAAGTGAGACTTTTGCATATAATGCACAAGACTCATTTCACTGGGATATAGATCCAAGTTTGAATGCAAACAGGGAAAAGAGCACAATTTGTTCCACAGGCAAATACCTCCCATACAGGACTTTTGGTAGTTACTGAGGATATAAAATTTACCCAAACTAGGAAGAACAACACAATGGACAAGAAAATATTTTGCTTTATTAATACAGTGTATTTTCATCATAAAAAGTACATTCTTTCTAACTAAAATACTGACACCTCCCAAGGTTTAATAATTCTATTAGTGGAAAACCTATAAATTAAATTATTTTCGTGAAATTTCATGATAACAGCATAATGTGCAATCCATCACCTAAACCATCTTGACCACACCTTTGAATGATTTACTTAGACTGCATATTTTTAATTAAAATTGGAAACCTAGAGTTCAATTCTTAAAAACATAATGTAAGTGATGCCCAAGTAATAGCACAGTAACTTCAAATATTAAAGACTTAGAGCTTTAGCTCCATCAGCTGGGCTGGTCACTAAACATGTAGCCTTGTTTCCATAGCCATCCTGGTGAAAAAAATATGTATATTCAGGGCGTGAAATTGCGCCTAATACAGGCGCCAATGCGCATAAATTTTTTCGCTTTGGCGACCAAATCCTGAAAGTTAGTCGCCAAATTGGCGACTAGAACGTTTCATCATAACCTTACCTAGAGATATAGTGAATTAAAAAGATTTGCAAAGATAAATCCGCGGCAAACTTCCTCGTTAAGTTTGTTTCCAAAACGTAGCACATGCACCTCGTTCGATAACTAGACGCCATCTTGAATTTTTGAACGGGTATCCATCCTAGTGTCCACTGACAGCACGTTAAAGAAATTTTGGAGGGTCTAAGAATGCTTTTTTGTTTGTCTTTGAAAATGGCAACTAACTTTTTTTGAATTGGCTACCACTTTGAAGAATTTAGGAGCCAAATGGCTATCAGAAAAAAAAGTTAATTTCACGCCCTGAATTATTAACTCTTTGACTGTCAAGAGTGACCACCACAGAATTTCTCCCTACAATATCAATACAGTGTCAAGCAGACATGTGATGAGAATTAAGAAAGATAACAAATAGGAGATTATCAGTTGATCCAAAACCAAATTCTCCAACATAACATCATAGTAGCCATATGACAGGCATTAAGGAGAATTACAATTGAGATCTTGGAAGTGAAAAGGTTCATGAAATCAAACAAAGATTGGTGCAGGTGCATGCTTTTATCTTCTAGTTTTTGGTTTGGTGCAGGCATATGCATATATCTGCTAGTTTTTCAAAACCAAACAAGTCAAGCTAATGTTTTTTATCTATTTGTTAACAGTGTACTCATTTTACACTCTATCCATAATCAAATCGAGAGCAATTAGCTTAGCCAATCAGATTGCAACATTTGCAATGGAATAATGAAAGATTTATCCTATTTTTGCATGGTTATTGACATGTTTTTATGTAAAATATTATTCAACAGATTATCATAAATCACATCATTGCCTCAAGCAAAGTAATTGCAAGACTAAAACATTCATTTTTAAAAATGGCCATTTTGCTATGTCATGATGTGTTTCTAACAAAAAAACAAAAACAAAAACAAATAAATGAAATAAAATGCAGATGATCTATTAGTCCCCAGTCAAAAAAGGTGATTTACATGAACTTTCATTTGCTTCAAAAAGTCAAGACCACAGTCAAACTTTAGACTAAGGAGAACTTAGCATCCACTCCCCAAAAATACACTTGCATTCCAAGCAAACTTTAGAGCCATTAGTAGTGTAGTAAAACTAACCTGAATGTGTTTTATGAGACTATCAACTGAGGACTTCTTCACCAGAGTAACAGTACACCCACCAAAACCGCCACCTGTCATACGGGAACCGTACACCCCATCTACCTCCATAGCAAGTTTAACCAGTAGGTCAAGCTCTTCACAGCTAACTTCATAATCATCTCTACAATCAAAACACACAAGAAACATCAATTGTTAATATTTCTGACATGGTATCAAATAATTTAACTGAACACATGGAAAAATATGGAGATTAAAAAAAAAAAATGAGCACAGTCATTCCACTAAAATTTGCTAAGTTTACCAAGTTCAGTCTTTCAAGATGGCTGGATGTAAGCCAGATGTTTTTGGTTATGTGTGGTTTTGTGGACCATTTTAAGGCTATCTCCTTTGGAATCCATTATCACACCATAATGATGAGACAAGTTTAAACAAAAAGGGATTTTTGTAATATGCATAATATCACAGTAAAGAATATTGCCCTCGCAAGAACAAGGCATGCAACCAAGAGCAGATCACCTTCTGAACGCATATAACCGGTAAAAGAACAGGATCTGCTTCACTGTGCTTCTTGCCAAGCCAACCACACAATAAATACATAAATTTTTAAATTAAGATGTATTTAGTCAAATCTAACACAGTTTGTATATAATACCGTAATGAGTTGTGACTTTCCACCATCAGTTTTCCAAACTTCTTATATTCCTCCTTTTCAATGGCTGCCGCAGCTTCAGTAGTTCTTTGAATTTCTCCAATCACATGCCTTGCTCTGCAGAACACAACATCTTCTAGCTTTCCTTTGCTGGCTATAAATTAGAATAACATTTTGTTTTAGTTCATGTCAAACAAGTCATTCCTATTTCCTCCCAATATATGACTAATCTGGCTCTAGGATTGAACAAGTTTTTGTCAGGTGAAGCAGGAAAAGCCATCCATTCCTCTCTTGTGTTACTCTGTTTAATTCTAATTACGGACGTTAACTTAAATTAAAGGGAAAGAAGAAAACAAGTTGTATTTTTTGATAAATGGTAAGTTTCTTGCTCTGAATTGAAGAAAGTGCAAAAAGATTTTGTGACCTGTAAATATTTTTTATAGTTGTCTAGCATATGCTCTTCCTATGTAAGTAGTCACCTCCTCTTCAGTTTCAAAGACTACTAAGAGCATGCCAAAGAGAAAAAGAAAATTAAAAAATACTTTTCTGTACCAGTTACCTTCCAGTTCAGCCATGGTAGCTTCTCTAAGACTTGGTTTTCCTAATGCTGCTGCTGCTGTTTCACATTGTTTCCTTCTTGTTGGGTACTCACTTCCTGTTAGCTCATGCCGCACATTGGAGTTAGTTACTAGGACAACTAAATCAGGGTTTGTCATTGGCACAAGTTTGGCTTCCATAGATCTGAAGGAAAACGTTCAACTTTCATTCTCGTGATCATTACCATGGCAAAGCCATGAGTTTATCACACAACTGACAAAAACTCTGCAAGCACTGCTGCTTGGACAATCTATGCTGGTTTGAGTAATTTAATAATAATATCAATAAGTAACAGCACTGATTATTATAAGCAAGTAAGTATGCCATGGAGAAGTAATGGCCTAGAAAGTAGCTGCAGAAATGAATCACATTCTATGTAACTTTAAGTACTCCATTCTAGTCTTGGTCCTTATAAGCCAAAATATCCTTCCAAAATTTATCTCATGGGGGTTTGGGGTGAATGGCACCCTGACCCTCCCCCCTCCCACCAGCTATACCCCTAGAGCTATGTCATATATTCCTTTGAATCAAATATCTTACCTACAATCAAGCAGAAGAGCATTGCCTTTCTTTCCCATAACAGAGATAAACTGATCCATTATCCCACATGGCATCTTAGCAAAGTCATGCTCAGCTTTTTGACATGCCAAAGCCTTTGCCTTCAAGTCTTTTTGCTCATTCCCAGTTAGTTTTTCAAGAAAAGTATAAGTGGCAACTTCAAGAGATGCAGAACTAGACAATCCTCCTCCCAAAGGAACTGAGGTTGCAATCATGGCATCAAAAGTAGGGATTTCTCCTGGAAAGTTAGCAATGACACCCTTGACATAGTTAGCCCAAGATGGCTTGCCAGGAATCAAGGGCTTCTCTGGTGTTGGGGCAGGAAATGAAATCATCAATGGCTCATCTGCACCTTTTGCAATAGTACCTAACTGACAAACATCACTGTCTGACTTTCTTCCAACTATTACTGTCACAAGCTCTAAAGCCTGCAGAAAATACAAAGCAACACAATTTAGTTCACTGCTCAATCATTTGGTTATTGAGTTAAGTAGGTTGCACTCCGAGAAAAGGCCATAACAATGTTACTGTGAGGGGTAGTGTTTTAAACCTTTTAGATAAAGTGTGCAAATTAAAGAGGTTTAACCAAGCTAGAATATCCTGTGTCATTTCCAAAGAGATTAGTCAACCTCAATAAATTTATAAGGTATTTATAATTCTATCCCTCGTCCACTTGAAAAAAATTTCCAAAATGACCATTCTTCTAAGCACAAACCTAAATAAAAGGCAAAATCTAGAATTTCTGAGGACAGAAACACCAAGATCAGGAAGCTAACTGTCAAAAGACTGCAAGCTTCCAGATCTGTATACCAAATAGCCACTCAATTTACTCTTACCCACCCCTAGCAATCTACTTGAGAATTCCTCTCCCCCCCCCTTATTCCCAAATAAAATGCATTAACCAACAACGTAAACTCAAAGACTGTAACTGATTATAACTAGCTACGAAAAAAAAAATATGTCAGAAAACACCAAGGAATAGAGTTGGATTAAAATAAACCTATCATAACACTTAGAAAGAACTTGAACATCCAGCTACACGCTTAAAGATAAGTACAGACTTGAAATTTATAGTTTAGTCCGACTAAACCACCACAAGAATTGACGGATACTAAATTTCTTCTTTAAGATGCATCATTTATTATCTGCTCATTCATGGAGAAAATAAAAATAAATTAACAAATAAATAAATAGAATAAAACTAAACCTTACGAGAATAATTATCCAAGGAGCGCGTCCAACGCCACGACTACACACAGTTATCTAATATTCCCTTACCATTGGAAAAACAAAACCATCATTGTAGTCTGTATGCTCCCCAATGAGATTAACTCTTCCAGGTGCACAAACAGCAATCGTAGGACTAGTTTGAAATTTTTCTTCGAAAGAAGTTTTCGCTATCTGAAGAATGTCTCCGGACGCCATTGTAAATCAAATGAATTTGTCCTCAGTCTCTCGGCTGTCATGTGAGCGTCCAAGGTGAGCGTCCATGTGGGCGTCACAAGGCGCACAAAACTAATAATTTATGACATCTACAAGAATAGAATAGCCTGGATTATTACAATACAGGGATGAGATCTGCTAAAATTGCAATAAATTCTAATTAAAGAAAAGACCCTTTACTGAAGTATGAGGGAACACTGACATTTTCCATAGACCTTTTACCTAAAGAATTCATCACAACTTTTTCAGTACTGGTTCACGAGCAAAATTGTGGAGCTCATTGAAATATAAGCAAAAATGGCGCAGTCAAAGTTATTCTTAGACAAAAGCCTCAGCATATACATCATGGGCTATTTTTTTTCTTCGATAGTGATGGTATTTTTTTTCGCGTCTCTCAGGCGAACACGAAGCGTGAGTCACGCAAGGGAGCCAAGCTATAACAACGTGCCAGAGTGACGCAATGGGAGTGCAGACGCTAACCTCGCCCATTCTTCGGACACTTTTGCGTAATTTAATTTCCTAGTGGTTGTTTCTACTACTCGTTTTTGTCTTACCTTCTCAACTTTTCAAGTGAGCAAGATACATTTGGTAGAAATAAATAACTGAGAACGTTTACACTTGTTTGCTCTCAAAGCAACCCAAATGAGACACTGGGAAAACTTCTGGGTGGAGCATTGACCGAATTAAAGGGGCCACAGTATTTGTTTCTCCTTTCATTAAATCCTGTTTCAGAAATTTCAAGGTGAATTGCAAGAGGGGAATTTGAAATATCTGGGCTAAACTCTTCAAAAAAAAAAAAAAAATAAAAATAACTGAAAGCGTTTACACTTGTTTGTTCTCAAAGCACAAACTGAATGAGACAGGCAAATCTTCCGGGTAAAGCATCGACTAAGACAAAGGAGCTACAATATTTGTGTGTACTTTTTGGCAAATCATGTTTCAGAAATTTCAAGGTGAATTGCCATAAAGGAATTTGAAGCATTTGCGCTAAACTTTTTAATCTGCAAAGACTGAGATGTACACCTTTAGGTGGAGATTGAGGAAGACTGGACTACAAGGAGGTTGAGAGATGTCAAACATAGACTTACCAATGTCATGTAAACAGAATCTCAGACTTGAAGCAAGATAGCCAAAATTAAGTCCTTAAATAGGTCCATAAATTCTTAATGGGAGATGTGACGGATAAGATGGGAGATTGAGTTAATTTATTTGACAATACTGCTCTTGCAAAAAGCTTACTTTACAATAGCACTCCCTACTCAGAGATCTTCAACTATCAACACAACCATGTCACTTAAAAATTTTTCATAAAAAAAACATTCTTATATGCTATGTTACAACACTAGGATTTTACAACACTTTTTAAAGAACTCAGAAGAATATTTCAATACCCCTTTTCAAATGTTGTAGTCATCACTTTGCAAATTACATAAATGACAGACTCAACATTTACTAGCCTTTATCTAAGTTTCCTTGCGGCACATTGTCACACATTGGTACATATTAAACATACTTTTGTACCTTCCATAAAGCTACACTGTAAAATAATGTTACAAAAAAAGTTGAAGGATCATTCCTACTGCACCTGGGTAAATTTTATTAGAAGGACTATGGAATCAGGCGCAAATGTTACCCTTACAAAGATGTATATGATAACACTTGTATATCAAGGACATGTAATAGGTACATATTAACAAAGAGTAAGAGTGAGCATCAGTTCCTCCATGGTCCAAGCACTTCTGTAGGTATGAACAGCTAGTAAGTGTCTCTTTATAAAAATACTTCATCTTTCTTGGCCTCACAATCCAATTAACTCTGATCTTGATTTAGGACACTGAAAAATTCACAGAAAAATAGGTTTAGAGTGATCCACCACAAGGAGCCAAAACTTTCTGAGCTCAACATTGGCAGCAGCTGCTTTTAGAATGTTTAGGGGCATCCACCCTTTCACCTCTAAGGTATAATGATCAATTCTTGGCACTGTCTGCGGTATATTTCATAATTCTTAGCTTGGAGAATTTGGTGTCAATCAAGAAATATCCCATAGTTGATATTTTTCTTTCTTCTCATTGCTTTTCTGTATGAAAATGTACAGATATTGTGAGGAGAAATTTCCATTTGGTCACTCTTGAGAGTGAAACGGTTAAGGGTGATCGTCATGCCCCAGAACACAGCACAATAACCCCTGCCAAAGCTTACACCCACACCACTGAAGGAAAATTAAAAACTGAAAATTTTAAAAGCAGATGTGATTCAGACTCACCTTGTTTGCATAGTGCCCTTTGTCCCCACACTGAACAGAAAATAAAATGAAAAAATTATGAGAATAGCAGAGAGAAAAAGGAATGAAAAAAAAATTAAGTTGACACAGCTGTTCTAAATATCAACAAAAATCCAATTTTCTTTGGCTTTTTAACCCTTTAACTCCTAGGATCTCTTTAGTAATTCTCCTTTCTGTCTGTATTATAGTTCTCGTGATGTTAGTTTTGGAGAATTTGAAATTGGATCAACCAATTATCCCCTGGTTAATATTTCTCTTTATTCTCATCACTTGTTTGCTTGATATCAATATTGTTGTTGGTCACTCATGGGAGTTAAAAGGTTAACATCCATGAAACACTCCAAAGAAACCTACAAGCTTTTGGTACCTGGACTACATGTACCACTTTAAAAGAACATTCTAGAGAAAAAGCAAGTACCTATAAATGAACCAGTGTTAGAGAAAAGTAAAACAGGGTTGCTTCTTTTTTGTTTTCCTTCTCATTCTGATTGGTATAGAAATATAGCACCAATCTCTCAAAAAATCAGGGCCCAGTTACATAAAGGTGGGATAATGCTATCCCACAAATAAATTGCTATTCAGTGGATAAGTGATAAAAAAATGTATAGCATTATCCATTGTATAGAGATCTATCCAGCAGAGAGCCTTATCCAATCTTTGAACAATTGGGGCCAAAACTCCACATGTTCACTCCTATTTCCCTATGCTTTTAACTGTTTGCTTCTTTTCCCCTGGGTTTTTATGGGCTCTTAATCATACCACCCTTCGTTTTTATTGACTGCAGTGATTAATTTAGGTTTGTGCAAGTCAATCAGAAACATTCTAATTGAAGAATTTGGCTTCATCACATGCAAAAGTACAAGGTGTTGGCTTTGGGACAAACCAAGCAGTTTGCATATCTAATTAGCCTTGACAGATCTATAACAACTTTACACCCACCTTGAAACAAGTGACTGTTTCTAGAGGCCTTCTCATCATGGGTCGATCAGTATCCAAATGTGCATTTGTTGTCACTGGAACAATATTTACATTGATATTTTGATGCATCCCTTGTTGATTCTGCAGAAAAAAAAATTTTAGATTAAGCCTGCACTCCAGCAAAGAGGCCAACTGCAAAGGAGATTCTGGTCTCCATTGCAACATGCAAACAAGCTCCCACTGGATAAGATGCTTGTCTTCAATCCACCTTTTTCAATTCCCAAAAGGACCCATTTCACATCTTAAGTGGAGGAAGAAATTGAGAAAGTAACATGTTTTGCCAAAGAACACACACAGGGATTCCTGCCTGAGAGTCCAACAAATTCATTACTAGGGCAACCCAATCACACACAGAAATACTCCCACCTCCAGCTATAACTGCATTCAACCCATTAACTCCCAGAAGTGATTAAAATCTAACTTCTCCCCACAATATCTATGCATCATCCAGCGAAAAAGTAATGAGATTACTCAAACTTGTCACTTAGAGGTTATCTTGATCTAATACCAAATTCTCCACACTAATTTACCAGGAAATGTGTAACAACTAGAGGGGAGAAAAACCAATCAGATCTTGGGAGTTAAAGGGTTAAAAAGACAGTCAGCTTTAAAAAAAATTACCATAATGTTGTCACTGAAAACAAAAATAATGTCTGTTGAATAAGACAGAGATTTAAATCCATGCTAGTTACAACAGCAGATGGTAAGATTTGAACTTTTGCTTTCATTTCTTTGCCCATTCACGCTATGGGTAACAATGATCTTATTCAGTGCATTAAGATGTATTTGACAATTATTTTTTGTTGGGTCCATGTAGGCATTTGAAGATTCAATGGAATCCAAATCCACTGTTTCCTCTCAAACACAAAAATCTGTGGGCAACTCATGACAACTACAGGTCAAACATTGAGCCAGTCAGTGCAATGCCCCTTGTTGTAAATAAGGATGTTGTATGCAACTCAAAACCACATTGAAAAATACCTAAAACTGTCATCCAGGCCCCAGTTGTTTGAAGAATGGATATTGCTATCCATTAGATATATCTCTGTCCACTTAATAGTGCAGTGTGTTCTGTTAACGCTTATGCACTTGATAACGAGTTATCCATTGGATAGCTTTATCCTTCCCTTGAACAACTGAGCCCTGATGTATAAATGATTGATTTGGGAACTGAAATACTTCAAATGATCCATTGCACTATGGTATTTTCAAACCAACCTTATAGTTTTCTTTGTGGGGATTTGCTGGACAGCTGGATGCTTTGTGACCAGGCTGATTACAGTAATGACATACAATGTTCATGGCTTTTTTCTCGCTGCTTTCATCTTTCACAGGAAGCTCGAATCTTGGACTGAAAAAAAAAAAAAAAAATTGCATCAAAGTCCTATCTTCTCTATACTGGCCTTTGTTCATTCTGAGTCAAACATCAGTTCAGTCAACCAAGGTGACAAAAAGGTCCCCCATGCAACCATTTAACAATAAAAAAAAGAAATGGTCCAATTACATGGGGGGCTCTTCATCTAAGTAGTATTAGGTCACTTTGGAACTTAAGTATCATCAAAAGAGTTGATAACATAAATTGGCCACTGTAAAGAGTACAAAAGCTGATGTTCCGAGGGTGAACCCTTTGTCAGAGCACTCTGATGAAGGGTTAACAATCAAAACGTCAGCTTTAAAACTCTTTATGGTGGCCAATTTAAGTTATCAACTCAGTTGATATACAAGATTACCCTGTTATACTCTCCCACCAATGCAGCACCACACTTTCATAAGAAACTTACCCCTTTTATTCACTTTGGAACTTGTTGTGTTGATTCTTGTACATGTAGCAAGAATGAAATCCAACAACAAGTTCAGATAGAACCCAAGAAATAGTGTTGGGAGGCAAACATTCCTGCCATGGCTCCAACTTTTCCTCTCCTTTTTTATTTTAAATGAAAAGTAAGAGCCTGTTTACCTCCCAAAGGAAAAAAAATTGTTACCCTGCCCACTATTAGACAATAAATAGATAATTAAATAAATTTCAGAGGAGCACCTGCAGAGAATGATTGATCTATGTTAAAACAACAAAACAAAGTCACAAAGTGATCAAAAGATTTAAACCCTGCGGTCTCTTGTAGTATCAACATTGCAAATAAATCACTTACAAAAGAAAATAAGAAAGTCAAATCTTATAAGAAAGCAATGATAGATGCAAGCTTACTAATCACACAGTACAACTTACTGCATATGTTTACACTTAGGGCCTTCAGGACAAAACCCACACATGTAGTTCAGGCATATAACTCTCCTCACATGTCGATGCCTACAGCTTGGACCTAATATTGAAGAATAAAACAATAACATATGCTGAGATGGTTGCCAGTCATAGAGAACTTCATTTTTAAATTTATTATCACAAGGCTTCGTTGTTGTTCATTAAAAGACATTTATCCTAGCTAATAGTTTTTTTTCCTACTCCCTATTCCCATCTTTTTGCCTTGGTATTGATATTATAGGAAAAGTCATACGTTCATCCCCCCTTTTTAATCTTTTCAACCTTTTACCAGTAAATTGCATGACAGTAATAGATATATGTAATGACATACCATGCTTGCAGAATCCTCTGTCATACCATGGACAGTCCTTTATCTTAGACTCAGGATCAATGTGAAGGTATTGGCATTCTTTGTTACTACATTCACCTACATGAATTAAATCATGTTTCATCTTAGTATCATGTATCATTTGATTAATTAACAAATCTGACATGCTCATCCACTGGCGCACTTTATGGTTTCTGCAACATCCTATCATTAAGACTCCTCCTGAATGGAAAACTAGTCCTTTACAAGTTTAAAGTAAAGGTAAAGTCTGTATTCAAGCCAAGAGGCCCATCCATCTTTCCAGCTTATACCAGTATTCCTAGCATAGAGTGAAAAACAGTTTTCAGGGTTTGTACCCTTTTTCAAAAACAAATTTCAAGGACTTTCCCAGCACTCAGATTGATTTTTCCAGGACTCCAAATTTCACCTTAAACCATTTCATTCCCAAGATTTCAAAATCAATTCTCTTTCCTGTCTACATGCATTTCTTAAAACACTAATTCTGAAAACTTTATTGCTTGAGTAAAGAAGATTTTCAGAGCTTCCCAGTCTTGGAAAATGTCATAATAAAATTTTAGTACTTTCCAGGTTTTCTGGAACCTGTATAAACCCTGAATATTGCAACCCCTCTCTTATCACAAGTTAGCCCCAACATTCCTCAAGTTTTCCTGAAATTCTCCAAGAACCACTCATAATCTTGGGAAGAAAAGAACACTGTAAGAGTCAATTGTCTTCTTAGATAAAGGTAACATGATCTGATGTAACTCTTCATTAAATAAAATAAAATCTGTTTACTTGATCTAAATTAAATATAACAATTTCAAAAAAATAAAGGTATGCACTTACCAAACTTGGAATAAAAATAACATTCGGGCATTTTTGTCATGTCATATTCGTGAAGAAACTCGCATTGATCACCCTTTTTACACAGCCCTCTCAGCCAGTGCTTACAGACAACTGTCTTTTCACCTTTGGTGTGTCTAAAAGGACAAACTGGCCCTCGATTGCACATGTTCCTCATAAAAAATTCACACACTGCAGCACCAGACTCTGTAGAACAAGACATTACCAAGAGAAGAACACACAACAAAAAATAACCATTGTCATTTAAATCATAACACTTTTTGAAAATACAAAACAAGTCAGGAAAACTGCAAGTAGCAACAATAATTAGTTAATGGTTTTATGGTTTGCATGCATCTTTATCACAGATTTGATAACACAATTAAAATTGATGACTGTGAAAATATGAAATTCATATATATTAACTGCAGATTAAAACCCTTTAACTCCCATAAGTGACTGAGACAGGATTTTGTCCTTTTAATATCAATACAATATCAACCAGATAAGTGATGAGAACAAAGAAAAATATCAATTTGGGGATAATTACTTGATCCAATACTAAATTCTCTGACCTAACATTATAAGAACTGTATGGTTGACAATAAGAAGAAAGACAAATTTGATCTGGGAGTTAAAGGGTTAAGAAATGAACTCTGCAAAAGCAGAAATGAAAGTTGGCTTAGCACTGCACCGGTATTGCAGACGCCGTGGGTTTAAATCCCATACAGGCCTGAATTTTTTTAATAGGCCTTATTTTCACTACAACTTAAGAAGTGTTCATTATTACGATGATCGCTTTCATATTAACAATAAATATTGTATAAATATTGTAGACATTAGCGTCTTGAAAGTTTGACATTTAACCAGGTCTGCTGGGTTCAGGTACATTGCTAGGGTTTGGAGTTAAACTAATTTTAAAGAAATTAACGTGCAAAAAGCAAAAATGACATTTGTCGCGACCAAAACTCGTTATTGAATGGTACTGTCCATGCCCGGGAACGGAAGAGGTTGAACTCCAACTTGGTTGTACAATTGCATCTCAATTTCAAACTTGAGATCTGCTACACTCGCCACGATGTCTTCCATTTTGATACAAAGCTAGGCAAATAGAGCGAAATCCTTCAAGAGATAGCCTGATTCTAAGTTAGCGTTATTCTTCCCAAAGAGATGACTGAAAAAGACTTTCCAATACAGTCGCACATGGTCCTCTGTCAAACATGGCGGACTAATACCCGACAAAAATAACATGAAGGCAAGGCTGCTAAGATATGCACGCTGACTTATCTTGGAGGCCCTCGAGGGCTCAACTTAGGTCAACCATTTCCTTTTTCCAATTCATCGGCAGTGTAAAATTTTAAATAATTTTGTCTTAATCCTCGTGTACCGATTTCAGTCTGAATCAAAATGTCAAGACGAGGAGGTAGGTTTGAGCATTTCGTCGTTAAGTTGAACTTTTGAGCCCCGAATGAGACGTTTTTGGCTATTTTAGGTCGAGGAAAAACACATCACAAAGGCAGGAGACGCCATTTTACCGATGCAGAGGAGCTGCAAATGGAGATGGAGAGAGAAAAGAGAAGACAGGAATGGAGGGTAATTTTACTTGATAGTGTTCTAGATATATCTCATTCGCATTCTATTCTTGAAACAAATTAAATGAACAGTGCAGATACCGTCAACATGTACAGAATTTAACAGAGGATGTTGAGGAACTTAAATTAAATGAAAATGCAACGTGAATTAAACATGATGCAATGCACACAAGTACCGATACGTACCCTTTTTAAAAAAAAATTCAACGCCTTATTTACCAGATTATTTTTATCATTGAGGATAGATCTTTTGTTGTAAGACTTCAACTAAAATTTCCAATGTTGAATTAGTCATGGTCTGAAAAACTAAATCGCCGTCGAATAGGTTCCTCCGAATTTACAAGGAGTTAAATTTGTTGTTGCTCGCTCAGCTGTTGATTTATTTACAACGATGCATTTGTATAATTTATCAGCACAGGAAGCTTCTATATGTCACTGTTAAAGAACTTCACTCCCCTGTTTTAATATCAGAGATGTATTTGTATTTACCTTCAAATATAATTTTTTCAAATGATTTGCTCTTGGAATCTTTTTTATTGTCTTTGAAACACTACTGAATAAACGAGATAAGTTTCTAAAGAAACTGTGGTGCTGCATCAGTTGGGGTAGTATAACAAGATAATTTGATTTAATCAACAGAGTTAATATAATTATAAATTGGCCACCATAAATAGTTTTTAAAGGTGATATTTCAACCGTTAGCCCTTCACCCTGGCAAAGGGCCAGCAATTCTTACTATAGAAGAAACTGCCCAAAACATAGTTGGTTTTCCTAAAAAAATATTTCAACTGAATTGCTTAGCCTTTATCATTTAACAATATAAATTGTGGCTTTTGAAACTAGAATTATCCATGTAACCTTAGAGTTTTAACCTTTCATCTTCAGGAGAAGAAAGAAGGTGATGGTTCAGATGAAGAAGGTGCCACTGCAGAAAAACCTGAGGCCAGCAGTGAGGAGGAATCTGACAGTGAAGAAGAGGTAGGAAATAGATGCTGTGGTCATCTAGCCTAAGGTAGTCCAAAATAATAATTGTTGTTAGGGACAGTTGTTGACATTTTGACAGCTGGAGCAATTGTCATCATCATAGTCACACCTTATGTCAAGTCAGAGTCAAGTCACCCAAGTCTTGACCCTGATAATGACCTGTGCTCAGTTGTCAAACCATTAGTCACTGCCAGTAAGAAAAGTCCTTTTTAGTTCCAACTAACCCAAACAATCCCATCACACTGTCAAATTTTACCCATGGGTCAAAACTATTTGATAGAAAATGTATACACTTTTTTATTGGTTTAGCTGGTAACACACAGTGATATTTTGTGAGTTGCATGGTGTTTTATGAACCTCATAGGGACGAGGAAGAACATTTGCAATGAGAAAAATGTTTGCTTGTATTATATGTTAAACCATGGAATAGAGGAATTATTTTTCCATTATGATTTCCACTTTCCACTATCCACTGATCTCCATTTTCCATCAATATTTTGCCCTGCACCACAGTGTAATACTGTGGCATATTTTGCATGTTCTCATGCCTTAATATGGTAAAATGGCATTGTAGTGGAATAAAGGGCATTTTGACTCTATCTCACCTTGATTCTCTGACCAAAAGCACTGAAAAGCTTTTTTTTCTTTCATTTTATAGCAGGTTAAACCAAAAGGTGTTAGTGGTCTCATAGAGATAGAAAATCCCAACAGAGTCACTTCAAAAACAAAAAAGGCCTCAGAATTAACCAATGATGATAGTAGTACTGTGCAACTATCTCGAAGAGAGAGGTTTGTCATAAAACACAATAGTTTTATATTTCAAGGAGTATATTTTCTTTTTGGTGATACTAGTATTATGAATTTTAAAATATCTTGAGCCATGATTGATCCAAAATTTTATACATTATTTTTTATTTTATTGTCCTTGATTTTTCTCTTCAGGGAAGAGATTGAACGGCAGCGTACAGCAATGAGAACGAGGAAACTACAAGAAGAAGGGAAAACAGATCAGGCCAGGGCTGATCTGGCACGACTAGCAGTTATACGGAGGCAAAGAGAAGAAGCCGCACGCAAAAAAGAAGAACAGAAAAAAGGTATTATCCTACCGAGCATTTCAGGTGTTTGTGGCTTGTAGGTGTAACTGTATGTGCTTTGTATGGGGAAAGCATTTCTTCAGTTGATAGTAGGTCACTCACAGTTTTAATCATCAATTGTATATTGATTGTATGAGATTTTTGGGTAGAGATGGCTACTAATTATTTGATTGTGAAGAGTGACCAGCATCTAATTTCTCCTTTCAATATCACCCCTGAATTGAACTTAAAGGTCATGAGAATTAAGGAAATGATCACCAAGTAAGAAGCTCTTAATTGTGAAACAAATTCTCCCTGTCAATTCCCTGGGAAATGTGTAGAGAACAGTTTGGAGAATATGCATTCTGATGTTAGGATGTGAAGGGTTAAGGATGTTTTATTATATAAACGATTTGAAGTTGCAAAAAGTAGATTGGCACAGCTTGTACATCAATTACATTCCAAGGATAATTTTGAGATATTTAAGCCTTGAGATGTGCTCTCTTAAGATCATATGGTTTGAATTCAAAATTGCTGATTTATAACAAATCTTTGTTACTTTACAGCAAAAGAAGCTGCTGATGCAGCTAAAAATGCCAAACGATGATAGAGGCCTAATAAAGAAGCACTGTCCTGTCGTGAAAGCATCTAGGATAACAGAACTGAATGAGTAAAGGCAGAAGTGGACAGATTTGGTGGAGATAATCGTATTTTTCGTACACTTGTAAAGTACTGAGACAAATTCTTGTAAAACGGAAGTAAATTTGAAACCTGTATCTTAATGTGGGAATGTGGCCACTTGAAAAATTACATTTTAGTCTGATATTAATTTTTCAACCAATTGCCAATACACTTGTCAGCTTTTTGATTTTATGTAGAAGCTGGTGGCTTCTTATACATGGATAGATTGAGAATGACATAAAAAGCCCGTTCTTGTTGGGAAAATTGTCTTTGGAAAAGAAGAAAAACAAAGAAATCTTATTTCTTACACGGTCGAGACTCATTTAAAATACCGGCTAATTGCTTTCCCCAAAAAAACGCTTAAGTAAAACTTTCTAAAGATCATAGCTTGTGGTGGAATCAGCGTCTCAGTCCGTATACAATTGGTTTCTTATTCTATTACAGTCGCACAGTGCCACGATTTACTAAGCCTTTTATGTCTAAGATCTGATTGTTAATTCTCCCCTGTAGCTGCTACACATTTCTTACTAAATCAATAATGAGAATTTGGTGTTAGGTAAAGATAACTTTTACCCGATAAGTTTGAGTATTCTCATTACCAGTTTGCTGGAAAATGAATGGATACGGTGGGGGAGAAGTCACATGTTAATCACATTTATGAGTGAAAGGGTTAAAGAGTAGGCGTACTCAAAGAGAAAAGTTAACTGTCGCGGTGACATTCTTATAAGGTCGCCAACGAGAGGTGTCTGATTATAAGGAGTAAATACAAGCTTTAGTCATCTCACAAAGAAAAAATAACCTTGGAAGTTTTTGTGAACCGTATCTCTGAGAACTACTATGAAAGGAGAATTTCTTGCGCACTTTGAAGGGCAAGTTGCGAGAAAAATGAAATGGCAGGCTCAAGTCATCGTCATAAGATAATTTGGATTCGTTCACTGAGTTGATAATGTAAATATTGGCCACCGTAAAGCGATACTTAGGCTGACGTTTTGAGCGTAGCGTCAGGTCTTGTCGTCTAGTGCCCGGGCAGTCAGCTTTGGAAACTCTTTACGATGGCAGTTGATGATAAACTGACCAAATTATCTAGAAAGTCACTCCCTTTCTTCTCCCTTTATTCCCTAGTCATCGTTAGTTACATAACAGTGAACTTCTCTGCACGTCACTCTAATGTATAGTGCGTTAAAAACGTTTTGCCGGTGGCGAGAGACATGGGCATGAACACGATCGTGTAAAGCTGAGACTTTCATCAAGTCGTCAGTGATCATAAATTGTATTTAGTTACCCGTGATGGTCATTTTAAGGCGCAGTCAAGTGACGTCCTTTTCTCTGCCGCTTACCTTGAACTTACGAGTTTTTAAAACAAAACAACAAACACTTTCACTGCAAACTGAATGAAAAAAGATATAGAATGTGTCGAATTTAACGGACAACTTTTTCAGCCCTTCAGAGCAGCGTACAAAAACACTGAGAAATAAAACTAGTTCTCTCGATGCCTGTTTTCTTGACGCGACAGAGAGTTATGTAACGAAACAGTCTTGTTTTCCGGAAAAATTATCATATTTTGGTGAAATTCTGTGTCGACTTTCCCTTTGTATTCGAAGCTTTTCGCGTGTTCCGCGAAAGCAGAATCGCAAGTTTTATTATGATGCGTAAACAACATCACAACAACAATCTTGAAGAAATGTTTACCCATCTTTTTTAAATTAATACAAATCTTTGATAGGGTGCGCCATTTACAAAGAAAATTCAGTTTTAAGCGTGAGATAAAGCAAATGACAAAAAAAAAATAGTTTTCCGTCATAAAACAAATAAACATCAGGGAAGAAACTCCTAATCAGTATATCATGCATTTCAAATGGCGAAATAAACACTGCTGTGATACAATATTGTGAAACATCAATGCGGTTAATCCACCTCGTCTGATACATTCCAAAGCAAATTTAGGTACTCCTATCCAACTCTTTTTGTTGTAGTCAAAGTGTTTGTGTTAGTTCTCGAAATATTTTTCAATTCCGATCTTGAAAAACTCCTTCTTCTGAGAATACAGCGTCCTTCAGTCCGTAGTCACTCGTAGGTCCCATTCACCGTTATGTAGTTACTTGTCAGCCAAGAAAAATCTGCGATTGCTCGAGGAGGCATTCTGTCTTGGTTTGTCTCGTCTACTTGCGGGACGAATTCTGTTTCTTTTCTGTTCTTGTGGATGTCTTCGGCGAGAGAGTTATTCTCAAATGACTGGTCACTTCCATAATCGCTGTTTCGCTTTGGCGTGGAGCGTGTAACTATACAGCCCATCTTCGCCTCTCAGAAAATGACAAATTCTCTCTCGTCTGACTGTAGCAAGGAAGGTTAGTGCTTACTGTGACGATGAAGAAAGCCGAAAGTTTTACATCAGATGTGTTTTCTGTCAATCATTGATCGAATATCCAATCACGGCCCATCTGTAGCTACGTCATAAGCTAAGTCATTTGCGGTGTGTTTCCATGATAAAAAAATAACAACAACAAAGCATTACAGTCCATTAAATTTTTATTAGCCAAATAAAATGGAGAAATAGCAGTTACTGGATAAGAAAGAATAAGTCGAATAACTGTAGGGAATAAAAGCCCAAAAGGGAAAGGCGCAAACGATAAACTCAGACTCATGCTTCAGTTTCAAAGCTGACGTTTCGAGCGACGAAAGGCTAACGCTTGAAACGTCAGCTTTGAAACTCTTTACGGTGGCCAATTTACGCTATCAATTTAGTTGATGATACCAAATTACCCAAAGAAATTGAATTAACGATTGTGACATGGACAATCCCGTAAGCTGGACCACGAACAGACCAGGTCCACATCAAAAACTGACTTTAAAAGGGACTACTACGCACTTCTCAAAATTATTTAAAAGAAGCTACGTTGCATACAATATTCCACAATTGTACAACACGGACAAAATATGATGCTTGAAAAGAACTGGTCTTAAATGGCTGGGACAGTAAAACAGCAGCTAGCAGACTGGCAGCGTACTTGAATAATTGTTAAAGGTAACATAGTCACTAATGTCAGCATCAATATAGCCGTAAACGGCCTTTTAACAGAAAAAATGAGCCGTGTTTTCTCTCATATTCAAGAGACAGCATATTCAAAGCAAGCAATCTTTTTCTATACGACATCTGGCGAGGCTTTAAACTCAAAATCCATCCCATGGCTTGCCTCTGAAATTGTTCAATCTTCGGTTCTCGTGATTTTTCCATGAACACGCAAGAAAAGAACGAAGCTAATATTTCGCAGCCATCTTGACCGAAAAAGCTTGATCAATAACAAATTTATTATATAGGAGACAGTAGGAAGTGGGTGTTTCCAAGATAAACGTTGGTTTGCTGATCCCTTATTTATACCGAGCAAGCTCGACCTGATGATGATGATGATGACCGATCCCTGTCACATGACGTCACGCATACATTTAATGATTTTTAACATGGCGGGCAAATTTTAAAATTCGTTTTCTTCTACGAAACAAGAGCTTCATATTTAGGATAAAAACCACGAATTCGTCAGCTGAAAACATTCGGAGGGAAAATTTTTTTTCGGTGCTCTCGGAGTGATTCGGAAATGTCCTAATCCCAGAATAGGACGTTTGACAAGTAGCACTTGTTGTTTCAGTGCGAAGTTTCAAGTTCTCAGTGCTTATAGATGGTTCGTCCCGTCAATCCCTTGAAAGTCCATAGTTGGGCCGTCGATTAAGTTAACGGCGATTGACGGTTGTCATGGGAAATATCAGAGAGCAACGCTTACAAAAAACTGCCAACGGAGCTCTCAAGTGAAAACATAAATTCAGTATAGATGTATTGAAGACTTACTGCGCATAAGAGCGCATCGATTGGTCGATGGGTCTGTCGGGAAAAAAAAGTATGAGGAAAAAGAGTGTGTGAAGCTGTTGGTTAAGACAAGCAACCTAATCGATGAGAGATTTAACATAGTAGTGCTCTTTGTAACAGAAATAAAGTGGTAGGGCATCGGTATGTGGATTCCTAAGTCTGACGTTCGATTCCTCATGAGGACTCAAAATGTTTCCAATGTCGCACAGATGTTGCAAGACCGAAGAAATATTATTTTTTTGATAGGATTCGCTCATTATGCTATTCCATACTCCAAACAAGACGTAGTGTTTCAAAAAATGCTACAATATATCGAAACACGAGAAAATTACACCACAATTCATTCAACAAAATTTAAAAAGAGCAATTTACCTTCGTTTTTGGGAAGGCTTTTAAATGTCTTTTTTAGTAACACTGCAAATTATAAGATTATAAGCCAAAATGATCCCATCGAGTTCTTGGGAGAAAATGTAGTAATGCAGTCACTAGAACTCAGAGTGTACGAAAGTAAAAGGACAAAAGAAGGGTTAATCGTAATGTCGCATGTTTCCTCAAAGATTTGCCTTAAAGAAAATTTCTCGACGTCGGAAGGAAACCATGTTACGCCAGTTGACCGGACCCAGGCGTAATGCTATTTGCAAAGGAGCAAGTTTTGAAATGAACAGTTCACGCGAGCAGCTTTTGTTCAATTTTCCTTTCCTCACCAGAACCTAAATCGTCTAAATCATTATGACCGATATGTTACTTTTAAACAAAAACGGAGACAAACGAACCGTCGACTGAGTGGGACCTACCTTGTAATAAGATTTTCTCAAGAAATTTGTCCCGCGATAATATTTTATACGCGTATTTTAAGTTTTGATTCCTTTAATTTGTCTCACTCAAATTACTAATTTCCTTAATTATTCCCTCCTAATAAGTATAGGTAATTGCATGATTTCGAGTGCAATTTGGAATAAATAAGCGAGAGCAAATTTTTTCAAAGACTATCGAAATTGCACGAGCCCGTAAGGCGAGTGCAATTTGTGGTCTTTGAAAAAATTAATAAGTGTTTATTTACTCCAAATTGCACGAGAAAAATCATGTGATTACGTATTAATAATATACATGAAAAAAATACGAGGCAGCTAATAATGACAAGTGACATAACACTTGTCGCGTTAAATGAAAACTGAAAGACTAACCATAAAAACTTTTACCTCCGTTACAACCTTTACTTAGTGAAAGACATGAACACAGTGGTTCACATGGTCAGTTACAAAAACATCTCCATTTTTAGACACGGCAACATAATGCGGTTCAAATGAAGACAGTCCAAACATCGACACAAACTTTCCGTCTCCTGTGAATACCTGAACTGAACTTTTCCCAGGATCACAGACGAGCAAATTGTTGAATGTGTCAATTGCTAGTCCACTGGGGTGAGCAAGATGTCCGTCGCCAGACCCCTTGCTGCCAATATCATACAGCAATATTCCGTCCTCGTCATAAACACCAACACGGTGAGCCTTACAATCAGAGACAAAGAATTTCTGCTCGTGGTAGATTGCGCACTTTATTGAATCATGATGTTCTGAGGCACGGAAGCGTTTCAGTAATTTTGTCCCGTCGGGGGAGATGACCTCGAAGACATGGTTTATCGGATCACTACTGATGATGGAATCATCTTTTCCGATGGATATGTGAAAAGGACACTGCAAGTGCTTACTGTTGATGTGCTGGACAAACTTGCCGTCTTTAGCAAAGAGACAAATCTTATTAACATCATGAGGGGTAGCGGAAATAATTTGATCGGACTCAGTAAAGCTTACAGACGAGCATGAAGACCCCAGTCGTATTTCATTAAGGTAGTTCCAGTTGGAGCTAAACAGCTGAATTCTCTTATTCAAATAATCAGAAATGGCTATAGTTCCTGTTTTCTCACTCACAGCAACACCGCAAGGATAATTAAAATTCCCTGCTCTGTTGCCACATGAACCAAAGCTGAACTTCAACCGGTACTGATGAGGAATGACCTGAACAGTCCACGGACTTCCATCCAACGGCTGTCCATTTATTTCAATTTTACTTCATATAATCCAATATGATCTGGTGTGTATTTAATTGTATAACTACCATCTCCCGCGTCTTCAATCTTAAGATCCTTTCCCAAGCTATCCCCTGTTGAAGTGCGAATTTCACAGTTTATGTCATCATCATTATAACTCTGTCTTTCCTCTAAATCCCTCGTGATAATAGTAAAATATGTCTCATTCTGTTCTTCTACCTTCTCACAAAGACCTTTGACAAGTGTCGATGAGGGATCCGTATGACTCACAACAACTCGATCCGAAATATCCAATTTCTGTTCTACTGCGTAATGAACACGAGGTGGTTTGTATATATCAGGCTTTTTCGTGTTCAAAAGGTCCTCGCAGCGTTCAATAATCATTGGCTTCGTTTGCAGAATTTCAGCATTGATATTCCTCTTCAAGATATTCTCCCCCTTTTCCAAAGAACTTTTCAACTGTGCAACAGCGAGCTGGAAGTTTTCCAAATGTGTTGCGTGAGCTTTTTGATGTGCTTGATTAATTTCGTCGAACTTAGCGTTCATTATCGCTTTATACTCCTTTAATAAGCGAATACGATCGTCCACAGTTTCGTTCATCTTCTCTCTTGCAGCCGATATTTGTGTTTTGTTTTTGTTCATTAATTCTGTTTGATTCTTCATTTCATTTTCAAAAATAATAACCTCCGCTTTCATTTTCTTCAAAACCTCATCTATTTGCATCTTTTGTTTATCTGCAACTTCCTGCATACCAACCATTGTGTGTCCATTATGACATAAAACACTGCACTTTATGCAGGTGCAAACGTTACAATCTTGACAATAATATTCAAGTGCTTGATCTTGATGAAATTTCTCTGAACACATGACTGGTCTACGAATCAACTTTTCGACATCGTCTGCTTGCAAATTCTCGATTGAGATATTTTTGTGACCTCTTGTGACTTTGATGAGTTGATGTGCTTCGAAACAAGCTCTACAGAGTAAGCTGTGACACTCAAAACAATAGTGAGTTGTAGGGTTGTTTTCTTCACAGAAAAGACGCGGGAAGGCCGCTAAATGTGTCTTCTTCAGAGATTTGAAAACTAGCCTGACAAACCGGACATTTGATTGCTGTCTGAAGCTGTCTTCTTGCGTAGTTTGCGTGTTTGTCGAGGCATACCAAACAGAAGGAGTGTAAACATGGCAGAGTCTTGGGATCTTTGACTGTCTCCAAGCACAGAGGACATTCAGCTTCCTTCCTGAGGCTTTTAAACAGTTGTTGAACATCCATGGTGAAAGTGGCTCTTCGACTGGAACCCGTATTAACAGAAGATCATTGCCTGACAGTTTTTCGAGGAATGTGTACTTAACCGAATCGCTTTCTCGGAAAATTCACAACAGGCAAATACAGGCATTCTACCCGATGTTTTTGTGCATATATCTATCACAGTTTTGAATAATTAAACCACAGAGTGATAAATATTTCCTTGCGGGTCAAATATTTTCTTGTGGGTCAAATGAAAAGTGAGCGAAATGACACGTTTTTTTTTTCACCTCCCCGGATTGTAAAATACGTCCTCTTAATGTTTCGTTCTTCATACAGCTTGTTCCAGGCTCTCACACAGCGTAGACAAAGGAAATTACCTGTGAACAAAGATTGGCAATTGTCAAGGAAACAGAAGCGTTGCTCTTTCCCCTTCCTGAATTTTTTTAGGCCGAGCGCTTTTGATGAGATATATGGTCTAGAAAATTAGGTATAAACAATTTCTATTTGAAAAAAAAAAGTATTGATAATCTGCTTTTAAAAAGAAACAATATTTGTAAATCAAACTCTCTATTAAAGTTTCCCTTATCAAACAGTGTATCTGGTGTTGTTGTGGTTTGTTTAAGTTTCACTTTTCACAGAGTGCAGGAAAGCTATAAACACCTAGTGAAATTCTCTACATCAGATTTTCTTGATTTTGCATCAAGCATTATCCAAAACTAGCTTTTTCAGAAAAATTGTGATGAAACTCAGTGATGAGTTGGACACAAACCCCGTCCCCCTTCCCCTTTTGATGCTCATGGAAAGACAACCGAAAAAGATTTTCACGTAAATCCTTTTTGATTCTATTTTTTCTTTGTCCTAAAGAAACTTGGACGTCTCCCTTTCACGTTGCATAAGTTAAGCTTTGCATTCCCCGAAGCGCCGGAACAATTAACGACTGTGATACAACTTAGTACTCTTAGGGCTTTCTCAAAAAATATGCTCGGCTGAGAGATGGACAACTCTAAAAATTAAAAACACTTCCTGAAGGTCTTTTGATTGTATTGAAGAGATCTAGGAGTTATTTTCTTTTAAACACGTTGATCTCTTTTATTTCAATCCCTAGTTTCTTGATGAAATTTTACAATTATTATTAATAGTTATTATTATCATTATTATTATCATTATTATTATCATTATTATTATCATTATTCTGATCATCATTATCATTATTATTCTTACGTTTACTTTTATCAAGTAAGCGCAATACATCAGATTTTCATGGAGGTCCATACTAAAACAACTACCTGTAAACGCTTAAGAGGCTATGTTTTATTTACTATATTTATCAGACAATAAAAAAAAATGGAAAGAAAGAGTAAGCACCAAAAAAAATAGCTAAGTTTGTACATTTATGATATTTTGCGACTTTCTTCCAAAGCTCTATATACTTAAGTTTTAGAATTTTTTTTGTTTATGAAATGTGTCCACTGTGCTATCATTGGGAGTCCTAGGTATGCAACTCCAGCTTGTTAAAACATTTTTTAAAGTCAGTCATGCTTACTGTCTTCTGTGCTTTCTCGCTAACTACTTTGTAAAAAACAGTTGTTTTGTTCATGTTTGTGCCCTAAACTCGTGCTGTAAGACACGTCTTTTACACTTTTATCGCCGTACTACTGGCCTATTGAAATAGAAAAACACAGTCTTTCTCATAATCAGTGACCAGAACTTCCCCTTCTTTAGACACGGCAATAAACCGCGGCGTGTGGAAACATTGTTCAGTCTCTTAGAGAAAGTCTCCATTTGTAGTAAATACTTTGAGTCTCTTGTTCCCAGTATCACAGACGATCAAATTGTTGAATTTATCAATAGCAAGTCCAAAAGGATTCAGTAACTTTCCACGGCCAATTTCATGAAGAAAGTTTCCGTTCTTATCAAAAACTTTGACCAGGTCAGCTTTGGAATCAGAGACAAAGTAACGGTCTGTGTCTTTGTGATAAATGGCGCACATTACTGATCGATTATGTTCTGAAGCAGCAATGCGTGTTACTAACCCTTTTCCGTCATGAGAGATGGCTATGACCTCATTACTCTCTCGATCACATACCGTGATATCATCAACGCCATCAGTGGATATATGAAAAGGAAACTTCAAGTGCTCACTGTCGATGTGCTTGACAAACTTACCCTGCTTAGAGAGTAAAGACATCTTGTGAACATCACTAGGAGTAACGGCAATTATGTGACCAGACTTGGTAAAGCCTAATGAGCTACAGCCAGTCCTCAGTCCTATCTCTCTAAGGTATCGGCCATTAGTGCCAAACAGCTGAATTCTTTCATTTCTATAGTCAGATATAGCAACAGTTCCCGTTTTCTTATTAACAGCAATATCATAAGGTCCATCAAACTGTCCTGGTCCACTGCCATTTGAACCAAAACTGAACTTCAACTGATACTGATGAGGTATGACTTGCACACTCCACGGGTTACCGTCCAGCGGCTGTCCATTGACTTCAACTTTCACTTCATACAATCCGGTATGAGGTGGTGTGTATCCTACATTGTAGCTACCATCTTCTTTGTCCTCAATCTTTAGATGTACGGTTTCAAAGCTATCCCCTGTTAAAGTGCGAATGTCACATTTTATGCAATCGTCCTCATTATAGCACGTTCTTTCCTCTGAATCCCTTGTGATAATAGTAAAATATGTCTCATTCTGTTCTTCTACCTTCTCACAGAGATCTTTCACAAGTATCGATAAGGGATCCGTATGGCTCACAACAACTCGATCCGAAATATCCAATTTCTGTTCTATTACGTAATGAACACAAGGTGGTTTGTATATCTCAGGTTTTTTCGCATTTAAAAGGTCTTCGCAGCGTCCAATAATCACTGGCTTCGTTTGCAGAATTTCAGCATTGATATTCCTCTCCAAGATATTCTCCCCTTGTTCCAAAGAACTTTTCAACTGCGCGACAGCGAGCTGGAAGTTTTCCAGACGTGTTGCGTGAGCTTTTTGATGCGCTTGATTAATTTCATCGAATTTCGCATTTATTGACGCCTTATGCTCCGTTAATAAGCGAATACAATCGTCCACAGTCTCGTTCATCTTCTCTCTGGCAGCCGATATTTGTGTTTTGTTTTTGTTCATTAATTCAGTTTGGTTCTTCATTTCATTTTCTAAAATAACAACTTCCGCTTTCACTTTCTTCAAAGCCTCGTCTATTTGCATCTTTTGTTCATCTGCAGCTTTCTGCATATCAACCATAGTGTGTTGATTATGACTCACAACACTGCACTTTATGCAGGTGCAAACGTTACAATCTTTGCAATAATACTCCAGTGGTTGATCTTGATGATATTGCTCTGAACACATGACTGGTCTACGAATCAACTTTTCGACATCGTCTGCCTGCAAATTGTCGACAGAGATATTTTTGTGACCTCTTGTGGCCTTGATGCGTTGATGAGCTTTAAAACAAGTTGTACAGAGAAAGCTCTGGCACTCAAAACAATAGTGAGTCGCAGTGTTGTTTTCTTCGCAACTGCCGCATTGTTGGGACTCTGTACCACCATCCGTTAGAGCGAGGAGATCCACCAATCGGTTGAGATGAAAAGACGCAGGAAGGCCGCCAAACGTGTCTTCTTGAGGGATTTGAAAGCTAGCCTGACAAACCGGACATTTGATTGCTGTGTGAAGCTGTCTTCTTGCGTAGTGTGCGTGTTTGTCGAGGCATACCAAACAGAAGGAGTGTAAACATGGCAGAGTCTTGGGATCTTTGACTGTCTCTAAGCACAGAGGACATTCAGCTTCTTTCCTGAGGCTTTTAAACAGTTGTTGAACATCCATGGATAAATTGGCTCTTCGAGTGCCCCCCGTCCTAACGAAAGATCATTGTCTGACAGTTTTTCGAGGAATATGTGCTGAACCGAAGGGCTTTCTCGGAAAATTCACAACAGGCAACCACAAGCGCACCACCCGATGTTTCTGTGTATGTATTTGTGACAGTGATGAATAATTAAATGACTGAGTAATGAATATTTCTTGTGGCTCTCTCTGAAGATATCGGTAAAATTGAAAGAAACTTAGGCGGATAATATGTTTTTTTATTTCACCGCCCGTATTGTTTCAGACGTCTAGTCATGTATCATTCTGCATAGCTCGTCCTAAGCTCTCAAATAACGAGACCAATGAGACCAACGAAAGAGCGGGATAACGATAGCGGACAGAGAGCAATGCATTTGCATTTATTACGTTTGTCTTTTGTGGTATCGTAAGGAAAAATTTCTCTGAGGTCCCTTTAGAGCTTGAAAAAGTGAAGAATTTGGCTAGGCGGTGCATCTGTAGAGATCGTTTAGAATCCTTTTGCGGAGATTTGAAAATGGAGAATTGCAAGTAAACGTTTAAAGTGCCTTTGACAACAAATTTTTTTGCGTAAATATTTAGCTTATCATATGTAAAAACCGATTCCGATGGAAGAAAAATTTCAAAAAACTTAAGAGGCGATTTTTTCGGGCCCTTAAGTGCTCTTATTTTGCCTTAAAAGTGTCCCATGGACTGGTATCAGTCAGCGTTGAAATCATTGTACTCTTGAAATAATGTCCGATAGCGATGTATACTTACCTTCAGCAAGCTCTACCGAGAGTTGTGATACATCCTACTCAAGTAGTAAAGAAGAAATGGAAGTTGCGAGTACGATTCAGCCCAACGAAGGAGAACCGCGCGCATCTAAACGAAGATTCCGAAAAACACTGACAAGGACGGTTTCTCGCCTGCGAACACGGTGTTCAGGTCAAGATTAGAACAAAAGCTCCTGCTACTGAATGTTTAGTTTATTTCGTTCGTGTTTTGTTTTCTATGACGAAATCTATGTTAAGAATGGGTAGCTGTGTTCGTTTCTGTTGCCATAACGTTTTATTCCTTAGCACTAAGTGCGGCGAAGGTTCCCCTTGGTCAGTGCTCTAGAGCTTCGTTGCTGCAGAATAATTCCCTTAAAAAACAAAAAGCTAACTTTTGACGAAAATAACATAACAACTTTATTTAAGTGTCGATGTCTTTAGCTTCAAAAACTAATTGGGGACACTAAAATAATAAGAAAAAGTTATACAATGAGTTTATACATGGTATCATTGAGTATATTCATAATTCACTAAAATCTAAAGTTTATAAAAAGTTAAATTTACGGAGTTATCCCTATCAAAATATACAGAGAGGTGCTTAAAATATTTCTAAAAATTCTCATAAATTACAAATAAGACAGGAGCCACAATTGTCACATATGAGATCTACAAGGTTAATACGCCGTATGTTGGACGTTAAAGGATTGTAAGGTAGGTAAAAGTTAACTGCTTTAGTTTAAGTGCATCATTGCCATATGACACGTTTCGCTCAATGGCAAATAACTGACATCAGTATTGTAAATGAATATTTTGTATGCATCCACTTTCTCACAGCACGTGGATTTGCTACCATCTAGTGGAATAAAATTTGTGTCTCTTTATTTATCTCGTTGCAGTGCTGTTATCACAATGACATGCTATTGTTGCTACTTTTAGTTTCTTGAGGGCAGGGGAGAATTGATGGCTCGTGGGATGGAATTTCGGAAACCTAGGTTAGGAGAATACACGGGCCCTTCGAGCTTCTGTTTATGCCAGTAATCCACTAGAGGTTTCGCACTATTCTCGCAACAGGATATCGGTCAGCTCAGGAAAGGGCTTGAACTTCATTGCAAGTAATGTATTTCTGTTATTAAAACACCATGGAAACTATAATTGGTTGGATTTTCATACGATAAGGAAAGCGCAAATGTAATCATGTGGAAAGACAAGTAGTATGAAAACTTTGCGCTGAAAAGGTTACAATGAAATTAATCATCTTTTCAAAACTCTGGTTCTGCCAAATCTTCTTCACGCTTTAGCTGTTTATGGTGCCTCAGAATCTGACCTCTCCACTGTACAAGGCTTCCTTCATCGCTGTTTTAAACATCAGTTCTGTTCTAAACATAGCAATGTTTACAACCTTCTGGAAACACAAGACCGTAACATTTTCAAGAAAATATCTGCCATTGTAAATCATCCTCTCCCGCTGTTTCTACCGAGAATCAAATCTACCCATTACAACCTTAGAAGAAAATCCTCTGGAAAACCCAGGAACAATACGGTCCACTCTATGAGGACCCATGTAAATAGATTAGTCTTTAAATATAATTTAGCATTAGAATAGGGTATTTTTCGACATCTTTTATAGTTAGTGCGCTTTAGATTTTTAACTTGTAACATAGGAAATGTATTTTTTATCCTATGAGCGAATAAAGACATATCATTATTATTATCATTATTATTATCATTATTATTATTGTTGTTTTATTGTTAATATTATAATTCAAGCGCGCGAAATAAACAACAACATGGAGCTCACCATTCTTCGCTTGCGAAATGCCAGCCGAAAAGAATGTTGAGTAGTCGTGTTCGGTGAGGGAACAGGCCCCTTAATCAACATTCTTTTTAGCTGAATTCATTGGCTATCTTCTCCTGATTTATTTAGTGGTATGTGTTCGTAATAGTCGTCTATGAAGCCGGTACGGAGCATACGACTGACGACATTGAAGAGTAAAATGGAAACGTCGTCGATCGAAACACGTCCATCATTGCAATGTAGCTAAAATCCTTGGGAAAGCAGTGTATAGAAATGCCCGGTATATTTGTATTATTCAATAGTCAAGGAGAACTCGGTAGGTGCCTTGGTCGATTATTTCTAATTTAAATACAGCTATCAACCAGAAAATACAAAAAAAAAATTCGTATCATAGGCACTTTAGGCACGAGCTCAATTTACACTCTGACAGAAGACCTCTTTAAGAAGACCAAGGAGGGCTTCCACAGAAAGTCGCCGAGAGATTTCCGTTTTCTTTGACTCCTCTTACCCGAAGTAATGAAATGGAAGAATTTGCTCGTCAACGATCCCAAAACAATGCCCAAATAGACTTGTTATTTCACTGGCGATGTCTTTTGCCAGAGTCAATACTGGCTTTACCCACAATCCCTGCCCCCTGCAGAGTCGCTCTTGACTCTCCCCAAGGGACAGGTACGGTGAAATACATAAACCCTTTGTTCGTTGGTAGACATATTACGGTCTTGGTATAGTTCTTTTCGTTGCCTACTGCGGCGGCTCTCCACCGTTTCGCTGGGGGGCTGCGTAGTACCGCTCGAAAAGGCAGAGGTTGAGGGGAATTGGTGGGGTGCTTGCCCCTGTGTCGGAAAGCACAACGCTTAATAAGCTGTTTTATTCAGCCAGTGAACAATCATAATATGCAGCTAAAAAGTTGAGAAAGGTTTGTGCATTTGTGATATTTTATGACTTTTAATCAAAGCTCTGTATAGTTTAATTTTGGTACATATCAAACTTACGTTTAACATCTGCCTCTGTAGATTTTCGTGACATGTCACGCAGTCTGAGGTCAGTCAAAAACACGTTAATTTTCGAACATTTTCCTTTTTTTCGTGTATTTCATTTGAATTGCTATCTTTCTTACCTTCAGTTTCTAAAACTAACGTACATAAGCTTTCTATACCACTGCATTTGAAGGCAATCATTAAAATATTTCGTTCGGGTTTTTGAGACTTATGGTTAGCGATTCAGACATGTCGAAGAGGGGTTCAGGCCACATGCAAGCAGTGGCCATGGAGTCTGGGGCTATAACTCTAAAGCGCATGCCTAAAACTGGTTATTACCGCGAAATACGAAATGAGGTTTGGATATTGTTTGGGTTCGGGAAATGGGACTTGAAGCCATTTAGCATTCAAGAAAGCGTCAAAAAGTGTGGGGGAAAGTATAAAGAAGCTTATTGATGCGTGGAAAGCAAAAAACTACTCCTTCAAATTTTTCTATCATGAGCTTGAAAACAACTCATTGATTGAGGAAAACCAACAGCTTCGTGGGCAGAAAAGGAAAGCTGAACTGGATTTAGCCGCAGAGCAGGCAAAGCGATTAAAAATTGAGCAGGAGTTTGAAGATGTTATTAGGGATTCGGAAAACAGAAAAGAACAATACAAACAAAGATTCAAAAGATTAGCGAAAAAAGCAGCAAGAATGCAAAAAAGGGACAAAGAGGTCCAAACAAAAGCAAACGTTTCACTGATTATACCAAACAACATCAGGCAAGATCAAGGCGAGGATTTAAATTTTTATAACAACTTTATAACAACTTTATTGGGTACGTCTACGAATAGACGGACGCCAATTGGGTTAGTGCAGCGGGACATAGAGTCCCATACGGGACACTACCCCTCTTAAATCCACCCAACCCAACCCAGGGGAGGACATCCATCACCAGTAACGTGGGAAATTAACGTCTCCTACCCCAAACCCTGCAGGAGACGGGCCACGTCTTATTTTAGGCTTAAGGTCACAACGTAGTGCCCCGGCCAGGACTCGAACGACCCAGAGTCCAGCGCTCAGACCACTGGACCACTCACGCCTCACTAAAAGAAGTATGCCACTCAGCACTGCCATTTTTAGGCCTCTACGATTTTATTGCCACCAAGGTTGAGGTATTTAATAATGACACTCAACAATGTGAAACTATTTCATTGGTAGAAGAGGGAGAGTTACAACTATTGGAAACAGAGCCAATAGAACTGACTGACAATGATATTGATGACATCAATATGTGGGCTTACTTGAAGGACAAATTGAATATATCTAATGAAGCTTGGCATGAGTTGGCCATGAAGTGTAAAGACATGCCCACAAAATATCAAATGTGCAAACACCTAGATAAGCTAAATGCCAATTGGAATCTGAGAAGTACACCAGGGGAGGCAGAGGGAGTACAGATTTCTTTCAGGGAGAGTCTTGAGGAACAGATAAAAAGGCTGCAGAAAAATGGAGTATTGGACAAGGTTACAACATTGGGAAAAGGCTTAAACTTGAAAATGTCACATACACAATTTTGAATGAAAATGATGCAGCAATGAATGAAAAAGGGAACTATGTTCTAGCAATAATTAAGACAACAGAGAACTATGACAATCTTAAAGAAAGCCTTGCTGATCTAAATAATGAAATGTCAAATTTAAAAGAAATAACTGTAAATATTCATAAGTATAGCATTGAGTATTTTTTGGGAGGAGACTGGAAGTTTCTAGCCTGTGTTTGTGGTTTAGGGGCTGCTAATCAAAATTTCTCTTGTATTTGGCGTAAGTGCCCAAGAAATGAAAGGTTTGACATCAGTAAAAAGTGGTCTATAACTGACAAATCTCTTGGGGCAAGAGATTTACAAGAAATAGGTAAGTATGCAAAATCTAAGAAATACAATTGTAAAACCAATCTATTATTTGATTTTATTCCTATTGACCATGTAATAATTGATACACTACATTTATTTTTGAGAATATCTGATAATTTAATTGAACTTCTGATCAGGGAACTTCGCAGGAAAGATGCCATTGACAAGGTATCTACTTTTTCAAATGGGTTTTTTCAAAATAAGTATAGACATATGGCTGGGTATGAGAAATTTGTAAAAGAACTTGGAATTAATTTTGAATGGAAAATTAATAGGGACAGCAAGAAGTTGGAGTACAGAGACCTTACTGGACCTGAAAAACTCTTGCTTTTCCAACATATTAATTTTCACTTACTATTACCAAAGTTTCATAATGTGGACAAGCTGCAAGCCCTTTGGGGTAATTTCATAGATATTATGGGTGATCTTAAACTTAATTACACTACAGATGATGCTATCTCTAGCCTCAAAGACAAAATCAAAAGATGGTTTCAAAAATTCTTAGACCTTTACCAAGCAAAAGATGTAACACTATATATGCATTCTTTGTATGCTCATGTACCTGAATTTTTAAAGCTATACCAAAATTTAGCTTATTACACTCAGCAAGGTATGGAGAAGTACAATGACACTGTATCAAAGGACTACTTTAGATCATCTAATCATAGAGGGGTTTCTGCTCTAAAGCAACTTTTCTTGAAAAAACACAGAATACAGCTTTTGGAAGCTGCTGGTTTGGAAAGGGTGAAGGAAAGCTACAACTGTGGAAACTGTTCAACTTCTGGCCATACCATCAAAACATGTACCGCAAAATGCAGCAGATGCGATGCTCCCACTTTCTGTGCACATCTTGTTAAAATAGATGGTAAATGGAAGCCAAGATGTGATTTAATCAATCAGTAATCATATAATATATCAATGTATTAAAGGAGTGTATTACCCAAAAACTGTTAGTAGAAGTTGTGTGGAATAATTTGCTATGCCTGTGAAATGTTTCTTGTATACAGTATTCAAGGAGTCTTTTTCAAAAATGTTACTGCATTGATTACAACAGAATCACAGACGGAAATATATGGGTGATTTATAACCACATGTTTACATTTTATGAAGGTAATTCACCTGCAAGTAAAATAATTCTTTGACATCAACTATCAAAATCAATAAACATGTGCTAAATCAAATATATTAATAATGGACCATATTTTTGTATCCACATCTGTTGCCATCTCCACGGACAAATGTAAAAACGACTTGATGCCCGTCTTCGATTTCAGATCTCACGTATTTATCGCCAATTAATTTAAATTCCACTATGGGATTTCTTTTTGTCAACCAAAATCTCAGTCCCTGGTACAACATAAGCAAAATCGCCGTTTTCATTCATGATCCACTCATTCCACTTTGTGCCAATATAACAATCCAGAATTTCATATATTAGTTTATTCCTCTGATATTTTTTGGATGAAATCCTTCCAAGACTTTTATAGAAAACGTCGTCATCGACTTGAATTTCAATACGAACTTCTGGATCCTCTCTGCGCCCAGAGTACAACTTTCGCTTGATCTCCCTGTAAACGCGTTCATAAAAAGTTTGCAGGCGATCGTTGAAGGAATCATCGGTTGGTTTTGACATCGGTTCCAATCACATTACGGGCAAATTATGTTCATCGCATGACCTCTATTCGTCAAATTTCTCGCTGTACCCTTTGAAATGAATTTTGACCATGTTTCTCGCTTTGTCGACCTGTATTATCTCTACAGGATAAATATTCTTATCCGTAGTTTTTATTTTCTTCCATTGCTTGGGCTTAACTTCTGCGAATTCGTCAATAAATCTCTTCGGAGTCTTACGCTCCCGCTTCACTCTGTTGGCCGCCATTTTTAACATTGCCGCTCTTTGCATATTTAATTGCTCTGCGCATGTCAGGTGAGTAATACGGAGGCTTGGGACCAATTTAAGCAAATGTTCAGTTTTCTATGGGATAAGTTTGATATGACATATATTTATACATATATATCCATATAGATAATTTTTTTATTAAATATGTCCACTGTGTTACAATTGACAGTCCTATGTGTGAAGCAACTGGTGTAATTTCTATCTTGTCAAAAATTTGAAAAATTTAACGGGCAAACTACCTCTCATGCATTCTTTCTTTCAATTTGTTTAAAAATTTGTTTATGCTTACAATCACACTCTAAACTTAAGAAGGAAGACAAATCTTCAAAACCTATATCAACACAACAGCTCTAATTAAAAAGTTTGTAAAAAAATATCTAAGGAGATTCTGTCCAACAATCATTAGATGCTACTATTGGAATGATCTTACTATATCTATACGAAAGAAGACTACCAGAAAACTATTTCAAAGAGCAATTTTTAAGTACTTCTTTCTCAGTTTTTATCACTACCTTACTTTGACCTTGCACTGTCTTTTCCTCTATTATATTTGTATTTTTTATGTTAAAATGTAATTCAGATTGGAGGAAATCTAATTAGCTTAACCCTTTCATGTTAAAAATCTAAATAGCAGTTCTCCTTACTATCTGCTAGACAATTCGTTTGATGTTAGTTCTGAGAATTTGGTATTGGATCAACTAATAATCCTCTAATTGATATTTAACAATTATTCCATATGAGATGGCAAAAAGCCAACAAAGCACAAAGCGCCAAGCAAGCATGTTTCTTTACATCAAATAACCCACAACCCACAGGAGAAGTGTTTGCTTCCAGCCAAAAGAAAAACCTCAATGTAATGGTAAGTTACCACTACTTGAAGGTCTTTTGGTGGTTGTTATTTTTGACCCCTTTTAAGTTCAATTCCTAATTTCTTTATTAACTTTTGCTATCATTATTATTTCATGCTTTCTTTTATTTAATAAGGGCAATGCACCAAACTTATGTGGTGGTCCATAAACAACTGCCTGTAAATGCCTAATAAGCTATGTTCTATTTACTATAGCCATTAGGCAATAAGAAAAAAAATGGACAAAATCAACAACTACCAAAAAAGTAGATAAGTTTTTAGATTCATGATACTCCACATCTTTTGTTAAAAGCTCTGCACAGTTAAATTTTTGAATAGATATATATATATATTTTTATTTTTCAATCAAATGTGTCCACTTTACTTCAAATGGCAGTCCCAGGTAATAAACACCTGGTGAAATTTCTATCTTGTAAAAAATTTTTAAAAAAGTTAACACTTACTTTCTTCTGTGCACTCTTTTTATTTACTTTGTTAAAAGAAATTTTTTATGCTGATAAACGAGTCCTAAGCTCAGGCTGTAAGACTTGTCTAGAACGTGTTTATCGCTATTATAGGTTTAATGAAAAAGATAAACAGTTATTTTTTTCATAATCAGTGACTACAATGTTCCCATCTTCAGACACGGCAACAAAATATGGTGTGTGAAAACATTGTTCAGTCTCTGTGAGATAGTCTCCCTCAGTAGTAAATACTACGAGCCTCTGGTTCCCAGTATCACAAACAATTAAGTGGTTAAATTTGTCAATAGCAAGGCCGACAGGATAAAGTAAACTCCCGCGACCAATATCATGCAAGAAGTTTCCTTCCACATCAAAAACATTGACACAGTCAGCCTTAGAATCTGAGACAAAGAAACAGGATGATTCTTCATGGTAAATGGCATACATTATTGACTGATCACACTCTGAAGCAGTAATGCGTGTTACTAACTGTGTTCCGTCAGGAGAGATGACTATAACCTCATTACTCTCTTGATCACATACCGTGATATCATCATCGTCATCGGTGGATATATGGAAAGGAAACTTCAAGTGCTCACTGTCGATGTACTTAATAAACTGACCCTCCTCAGAAAACAAAGAAATTTTGTGAACATCACTAGGAGTAACGGCAATTATGTGACCAGCCTTGGTAAAGTCTAATGAGGTACAGTTAGCCCTCAGTCCTATCTCTCTCAGGTAGCCGCCATTAGAGTCAAACAGCTGAATTCTCTTATTTTGGTAGTCAGATACAGCAATAGTTCCTGTTTCCTCACTTATGGCAATATCATAAGGAGTATTAAACTGTCCTGGTCTGTTATCACTTGAACCAAATTCAAAATCATACAAAATCATATACTGTTGGATGACTTGAACACTCCAGGGACTACAATCCTCCAGTTGTGAACTCCAGATATTATTATCCAGCGGTTTTCCATTCACTTCAACTTCCACTTTATATATTCCGATACGATCTGGTGTATAATATACTGTGTAGCTGCCATCTTCGTCGTCTTCAATCTTCAGATCTGTTTCCAAACTATCCCCTGCTGAAGTGTAAATGTCACACATAATATGATCATCCTCGTTATAGCATTGCCTTCCATACGAATCTCTCGTGAAAACAACAAAATATGTCTCTATCTGTTCTTTCACTTCCCTCAAAAGTTCTTCGACACTTGACAAAGAGGGATCTGTTTGACTCACCACAACTCGATCCACAACATCCATTTTCTGTTCTACAACGTAATATACATGGGGTGGTTCGTAAGTCGCAGGTTTTTTTGCTTTTAAAAGGTACTCACAACGTCCAATAATCACTGGCTTCGTTTGCAAAATTTCAGCATTGACATTCCTCTCTAAGATGTTCTCACCTTGTTCAAGAGAACTTTTTAACTGAGTGACAGCGAGCTGGAAGTTTTCCAGATGTGTTGCGTGAGCTTTTTGATGCGCTTGATAAACTTCATCGAATTTCGCATTCATTGACGCCTTATGCTCCGTTAATAAGCGAATACAATCGTCCACAGTCTCGTTCATCTTCTCTCTGGCAGCCGATATTTGTGTTTTGTTTTCGTCCATTAACTCCATTTGGTGCTTCATTTCATTTTCGAACATAGCAACTTCCGCTTTCACTTTTTTCAAAGCCAAAGCTATTTGCCTTTTTTGTTCATCTGCAGCTTTCTGCATATCAACCATAGTGTGGTGATTATGACTCACAACACTGCACTTTATGCAGGTGCAAACGTTACAATCTTGACAATAATATTCGAGTGGCTGATCTTGGTGGTATTTCTCTGAACACATGGCTGGTCTGCGTATCAACTTGTCAACATCACTTGCCTGCAAATTCTTGACAGAGATATTTTTGTGACCTCTTGTGGCCTTGATGCGTTGATGAGCTTCAAAACATGTTGTACAGAGAAAGCTCTGGCACTCAAAACAGTAGTGAGTTGCACTGTTGTTTTCTTCGCAACTGCCGCATTGTTGGGACTCTGTACCACCATCCGCTAGAGCGAGGAGATCCACTAGTCGGTTGAGATGAAAAGACGCGGGAAGGCCGCCAAACGTGTCTTCTTCAGGGATTTGAAAGCTAGCCTGACAAACCGGACATTTGATTGCTGTCTGAAGCTGTCTTCTTGCGTAGTTTGCGTGTTTGTCGAGGCATACCAAACAGAAGGAGTGTAAACATGGCAGAGTTTTGGGATCTTTGACTGTCTCCAAGCACAGAGGACATTCAGCTTCCTTCCTGAGGCTTTTAAACAGTTGTTGAACATCCATGGTGAAATTGGCTCTTTGACTGGCACCCGTATTAACAAAAGATCTTTGTCTGATAGCTTTTCGTGGAATGTGTGCTGAACCGAAGCACTTTCTCGGAAAATTAACGACAGATAACCACAGGCATACCACCCGATGTTTCTGTGTATGTATCCGTGAAAGTGATGAACTATTAAACCTCTGAATGATGAATATTTTCTTGCAGCTCGCTCTGAATATATCAGTAAAATTGAAAGAAACTTAAGTAAATGATATGTTTTTTATTTCACCTTCTGAAGTGTTTCGGACGTCCTTTCATGTACCATTCTGCAAAGCTCGTCCTAGTCTCTCAAATAACGGATACCAACGAGAGAGCGTGATAACGATACTGGACAGAGAGCAATGCATTTGCATTTGTTAACAAAAGATAAGTCTGACAGCTTTTCGTAGAATGAGTGCTTAACCAAAGCGCTTTCTCGGAAAATTAACTACAGGCAACCACAGGCATACCATTCGATGTGTCTGAGCATACATCTGTGATAGTTATTAATAATTAAACCATAAGAGATGAATATCTTTTCGCGGCTCGCTCTGAATATATCGGCAAAATTGAAAGAAACATTAGTGGATGATTTGTCTTTTTCACCCCCCGCATTTTTCAGACGTCCTTTCAAGTAGCATTCTGCAAAGCTCATTCCGGGCTTCTCAAACAGCGGAGACCAACAAAATAGTGACACGGGGAACGGAAGCGGACAGAGAGCAACACATTTGCAGTTATTACGTTTGTGCTTAAAAATGGGACAATATAGTGAGGAGAAAATTCTAATAGATAACTGTAAAAAAAAATAGTGTAATAACTAACTGCAAAAAGAATAAAGTTTTTGTAATACTTCGTCATCAGATGATCCTCGTTATTTTTTCTACCGTCATTTCATGTTTTAAATAAACATTCTGAATTATCTTGTCAAACTATCGCTTATTCTGAGCAAGACTGAGCCCGCACAAGTCACTGATCCACACACGCACATTCGGGAATTTAATTTTATACACCAAACATTCATTTTGAAAAATAAACAACTGCCTGTAAAGAGAGAAAACTTAAAGTAGTAGACGCTTAATAGGCTGTTTTAGTTCAGCCAGTGAACAATCATAATATGCAGCTAAAAAGTTGAAAAAAGTTTGTACATATACGGGAAAAACTGTACTCAAGACAGAGTGCACAGTCTTTTCCAATACAGACCGACCTAGGCTGGTGAATAACATTGTTATTTTTCACTTAAACTTAACGAAATTCTCTCCAAACGAACCCAAATGATTTAGGGCTGTCATTACTACAAGATCTTCCATAAACTGAACAATTTTTGAACGAGTAAATGGTATTTAAAATTGAATGGAAATTAAAGAGAAGCTTCACCGAAAGATTTTCATTTGCGTAATGAAAAGGGTGATTGAAAAGGTTTCCAAAAAAAATTTGAAACATTATTTTTACAAGTATCTGTCACAATCTGACACCTGTCAATTAGAGAGCGCGTAAGAAAAAAAGCGCATGTACACTTTCGAAAGAACAACGGAACTAGTTTGGCAAGGACTGTCACGACAATGTTTTCTTCAAAAACAGTCAATCATCTTACGGAAAGTGTTATTCACTCTCATCTACGATTGATCAACGCACGAAGATTTACCTCTATTCAGTAAGTAAATGGCAAGGAAATTAATTGTAAGTAAATTCAATTTTTTTTATTTTGAAGTTGTGAGAGCTTGCTTGTTTGTTTGCTGCAATGACATGTGTAAACCTGGTCTTTCCTATACAAAAAGTAATTTTGAATGAGCATTTCAACTAGACACAAGGGGATTTAATGCGACTTTTTCTCATTGAATTCTTTCAGTTTCTGCCGTCAATTT